TGCCTGAGATCACACAACTAATAAGTATCTGAGGCAGGCTTTGAACTCAGATCTGTCCTTGTATGCGTCCTGTGCTCTATCCACCAAGCCATGTAGCTGCCCCTATTAATGACAATGATAATTATAATAACAGTAATAAGGGGGGCAGCTAGGTGGTGCAGTGGATAGAGCACTGGCCCTGGAGTCATGAGGACCTGAGTTCAAATCTGACCTCAGACACTTAGCTCTCACTAGCTGTGTGATCCTGGGCAAGTCACTTGACCCCATTGCCTAGCCAAAATAATAATAATAATAGCAGTAATAATAGTGGTTTGATCCATTATTTACCATCAATTCCACAAGTAGAAAGTCAAAGATCAGCAGCATCTCCAATCGTGAGGTGAGTTACAGAGGTCAAAATAAGGCACTGGGGGCAGGTAGGTGGCACAGTGGATAGAGCACCGGCCCTGTATTCAGGAGGACCTGAGTTCAAATCCAGCCTCAGAAACATAACACTTACTAGCTGTATGACCCTGGGCAAGTCACTTGACTCCATTGCCTAGCCAAAAAAAAAGGTACTGGCTAATACAAAAAGAAAAAGTCATTCAGGATTCAGAGGAGTCCAGACCTCTCTGCCTCATTTGTTCCCTGAGGGCCAAAAGGCCAGGGCTGTTGAGGAGACAACTTAGCTGAACATCAAGCAGCTGTGTGGGAATTCTCATTACTAGACTTTATTGCCTTTCTGTTTCTTAAAGTAAATGTACCTAAGCTACAATGTCAGTGTATTATCCTTTTAGGTCCTATGAATCTGGGGAGATAAGCATTTTGATGGGAAAGGAGACAGGAGCTCTATATTTAAACCATATTTGGAGATTTTCCTGAAATAAAATTCTAAATTGGAACAAGATTTTGTGATAAATTCATGAACTATTATATGAAGATGATTCTTTTATGCTTTCAGAACGCTAGACTGAGTCTAGAGTTAGCATTCTCAATGTCTTTTGAGTCACAAACAGCTTTGACAGGCTTAGATTGTTGTTATTCATTGTGTCCGATTCTTCATGACCTCATTTAGGGTTTTCTTGGCAGAAATAACTGGAGAAGTTTGCCATTTCTTCTTTCAGCTCATTTTACAGATGAGAAAACTGAGGCAGAGTTAAGTGACTTGTCCAAGGTCACACAGCTAGTAAGTATCTGAGGCCAGATTTGGACTCAGATCTTCTTGACGCCAGGAAGGCTCAATCCCCTGCACCATGTAGCTGCCCTATTCTTGCTACAGTTAGGCCAACTTTTTAATTATGCTACTAGATGGGGCAAATTCAACTTTCTTTACCTCCCCTTCTAAATGGGAATAAAGCCTTCGTCTCATAAGGGACCCTCTTATCCTTATATATGGGATGTCAAGTCATCCCTACATAAGGAAAACTTTTGTGGTTATAAGAGTTTTCCAAAAATGGAATGGGATACCTTGCAAAGTAGTGAGTTCCCCATCCCTGAAAGTAATCAAACAACGCAATTCAAAAAGCAGAGACTGGATGACCATTTGTCGAGGGCATTGCAGGAGGGTATTCCTATTTTAGAAGACAGTAGAAGAGAGGTAAGCTTTGAAGTTCCTTCCAATTCTGAAATTCCATAAATATAATTTTCCAGACTAATGGTTTTTTCCATCACGGCCTTGTTCATCATTCCCCAAGCTAAGGTCAGGAGTTAGATGGCCTTCTTTCTCTTTAAACCTAAGTTCCTCTCTGATTTATAGCTGGTTCCTTTTAGCTCTAAATTCTATGCTCTTTCTCCCTCAAACACAAAATCCTTTCATTCCCAGGCCCAGTCTCTTTGCAAACCTAGTATACTAGAATCAACAAATTGGAGATTTTCTTCAATAAAATTCCAGATGGGAGCAAGATTTTGGGGGAAATATTATGAAATATCACGTGAAGATGATTCTTTTGTATTTTTAAAACCCTAGATAGAGCCTAGAGATACCTGATCCAAGGTTAGGGGGCAGGTTTCCCATTTAGCACTCTTTTTCCCTCCCCTATAGTTTCCTCCCTTTCCCCTTCTCAACACCTAGAATTTTCTCCCACCCATTTTATTACAACACTACACTGAAGTCCTACTATAATAACCTCACTATGGTGCCTAGGAGACCCTATGTTCTCAAAGAGTCCACTGACCCCAGGCTCTGACAGGCTCTGTCGAGCTGGAAAGGCCAGTCTTGGCCCAGTGATGAGTTAGATGCTTGGCAGATGAGGACCAACCTAGCTATATTCAAGGTAAACTCATCAGTCATTGGCTTTTGTTGTTGTTGCTATTAGGTCATTTCAGCTGTGTCCAACTCTCTGCGACCCCATTTGGGGTTTTCTTGGCAAAGTTACTGGAGTGGTTTGCATTTCCTTTTCCAGCTCATTTTACAGATGAGGAACTGAAGCAAACAGAATTAAGTGATTTGCCCAGAGTCACACAGCCAGATCTGAGGCCAGAGATCTTAGACTGGATTTGAACTCAGGTCTTCCTGACTCCAGCACTGGAGCTCTATCCACTGTACCACCTAGCTGCCCAGTCATTGGCTACAGCATGACAATTTTGGGAGAAGTTTATCTGTTCAAGCAATAGAGAGGTTGTGATTTGTGTCAGTGAAGCAAGTATTCACACTGACCCCACTGAAATCACCAATCCTTCCAATAGTGTGTATGTGTATATTTCTTTCTTTCTTTCTTTCTTTCTTTCTTTTTTTGATGAGGCAATTGGAGTTAAGTGACTTGCCTTGAGTCACACAGCTAGTAAGTGTCATGTGTCTGAGGCTGGATTTGAACTCAGGTCCTCCTGAATTCAGAGCCGGTGCTCTATCCACTGCACCACCTACCTGCCCCTGTATATGTATATTTCTGTGGAGGAGCCCTGGAAAGAATACTGAGAGGAGAGGGACAAAAATATTGCTGATCTGCTGTTACTTTCAGAAAGGACCTAGGACACCTACGCTTAGGCACAAAGAGTGACCAGCAGAGGGCAGAGTGCTCTTGCCCACGGCTGACCATGGAGATTTCTCAGTTGTAGAAGATGCCTCTTTGCCAAGCCTGGCTTTCCAAATGGGATCCCAGATGCACTTATTTTGAGAACCACAGAATGATAGAATTGAAAAATACCTTCAAAATTATCTAGCTCAATCCCCTCATAAAAGAAATTGAGGACCAGAGAGAGGAATTGACTCTCCATTCCCATGTCTCTGCTTTTTGCCCCACTCAACACTAATGACCCCATCTATATTAATGGGTTTGAACTAGATTTGCAAGTCTCTCGGATTAGTGCTTGACATGGGAGGGAATTCTATTCTGACGTGATCTTCCCTTCCTATTCTTCTCCTCCCTTATCCCACGTCCTCAGTAACAGACAAGGGCAAGAAAGAACCTCATTCCCTACCATAAACCCTAGCCCCGAGTTCATGTCCTGTGCCTTCCCTGTTCAGACTGGGAGATGCTTGAGGCCAGGGACTAGGTATGGAGGGTATCTCTTCTATCCTCTGTCTCTACTGGGGAGAATGCTCTGGCTAAGTTTCCCATCAGGTTTAAGGATCAGGGAGAAATTAACTTTTCCTCAGATACCAGAAGGCTTAGGAATTAACTTCCCCTCCCCCAATTCAACCCAGCCCCCACCCCCTTACCCAATCTGCCAATCTGTCATGAGCTAGAGATGAAGGAGTCAGGATGGGAGGGAGCAGGGCTGATCTCCTTAGGATTATCCAGTGTGACAAGTCTAAGGAACTGAATTTCAAAGTATTCCCTGGTTCAATCTTCTTTCTCTGTCCTCCCTCCTCTCCCCAACCCTGTACATCCTGGGCTGCCATCCAAACATTCTTTGAGTCACCAGAAAAGACCAGTTGATCCAGAGCCCGAGAATGGAATTCAATTTACTCAACAAGCAGTAAGAGATGATCCAGTGTCTTGGTGGACTGTCTATGCTCCTTGGCTTTTCTATCTTCCCTCCCCTTCTTGCCTACCTTGAGATCATTTTGTCATTCAACAGCATCTCCTCTCTGGGTATGGGTTATCTGTGGGTTTTAATGATCCAGCCTGTCCTTGCTTTGAGGATTACCTCTGACATCAGGACTGAGCCAATAGTGGTCGTCCTCTGAGGTGAACCCAAGGAGTCCTAAGCTCTAAGAATTACTGAGAGAAGCTCTGCAAAAGATACTCCTTCCCTTAACCTTCCTCTTCCCACCCCCACCCCTCCGCAATTAACTTGCCATGTGACCTTATACCAGGGTTAACTTGAAAACTTTGGATAGATTTCAAGGGATCCATGAACTTAAACGGGGAAAAGTGTATATATATATATATCCTGAGCCATGACACTCACACAGTGTCAGAGTCTGGGTTTGAACCCAGGTTTCCAGACTCCCTATTTTGGGCTTTTTCTATTATCCCATATTGGATCAGGAGCAAGAGACACAGAAAAAAGAGAATTAGCCACCATTTGGATGGAGAGGGTAGGCTTTCCTCCCCCTTGCCCTGCCCCACATCACCTAGAACAACTTGGTAACGGAGAACCCAGTGGAACAAATGCTTTGGGATGCCCTTCTCCAACCTTCTTGCCAATGTCCCCTTCCCTTTTCTCCCTCCTGTCTAGATATTAACTTTGTTCCATCCCCACCCTATTCCACCTTTTAATGGTGAGACCCCCACTCTAGACTTTCCTAGATCAAAAAAAATTCAGATCAGACATCTTCCTTATCTTCCAGTAACACAGAGGAACTAGAGATTTCTCCATCTGCCCTACCTCTACTCCCTCCAGGCCCATGAGAGTTGCCATCTGACATGCTGATGTACTCTTAGGACTTCATGACCTTTCCATCTTTCAGTTAAAGTATATGCTTCCTGAAAGCAGAGAATGTTTCATTTTTTTCCTTCGTATCTCCAGTACTTAACAAAATGTTTGGCACATGGTTAGCACTTAATAAATTATTTTTAATCCATTCATTTCTAAGGTCTTATTGCCCTCCAGATAATCTTTTGGATTGAGCTGGTAGTATTTTCCTGGCTGGGCTTACACTGGCCCAGTACAACAAGGCTTTAACACCCAATTAGTTAACTAGGAAAGAATGGATGTGACCTTGGAAGACAGTGGACAGAATTGTCAGGGTCTCTAGTAGAATGGCATTTGGTTGCCTGGGGTTTGGGTCTGTAGGTGATTGGCTAGGGGAACTTGGGGTGAGGCTCAGGATGGGGAAGGGGGGTGATCAGCTTATCATGCAACCACCTTTCTCCTTAAAGGGGTTTTTGTCCTCAGGGATGCCTTTAAGGAGGGGGTCATCTCCAGCGTTGGCTTCCACATAGTCCTTAAGTTCCTTCCCCGTTTTGGAAATCTGTGAAAGAAAAAAAAAGTCTCCTTGCTTTGAGATCCTTGGCTGGGAGGAGGAAATGGTACATCACCACTGTCAATCCAAAGTCCTAACATCGTAACACCCCATATAAAGCAGGGACTTTCCCTAATGCATGAAGGGTGGTGGTCAGGCATCTGAAAGAATTCAGTCAGCAACTGAGAAAGGATCTGGATGGCTTTAATCACAAAGATTTTGTCCTATTTATGTGGGTTGACTTTATCTTGTTTCGATTAGTCATGTCATTCTCTGTGATCCCGTTTGTGGTTTCCTTGGCAAAGATACTGTAATGGTTTGCCATTTCCTTCTCCAGCTCATTTCACAGAGGAGGAAACTGAGGCAAACAGGGTTAAGTGACTTGGCCAGGGTCACACAGCTAGTAAGCATCTGAAGTCAAGTTTGAACTCAGATCCTCCTGATTTCAGGAAGTGTTTAATCTGTTGCACCACCTACCTGCCCCCAAATTCCCCAAATGATTTTATCCATTTAGTCTTATCTATGTGAGCTGACAACTTAAAAGCAGGGGGATGGACACTCATATCTCCAGGCCACATTGAATCCAAGGATCTCTTTTTTTTTTTTGTTCAGGGAACCTTGGCAGGTCTGTCTTATCCATCCCCATTTTTGCAGTCCCAGCTTTCTCAATCACTCCCCTGATTCCAGCTCCTTAGAAAGGAGTTTCCACCACCTCCTTACCCTTTCTCTCTACAAACAACTCATCCCATCACCTGTTCCTGTGCATCTCTCTCCTATCATGAAGATGAGCAGATAGAGAAAACAAGGGAAGGAGAGAGACACTCACCATGGCTCTTTCATTCTTCACTTCCTTCTTAAGTTGATCGATCTGCATTTTTAACAGCTCCTTCTCAGTGAGATCCTGAGCCATGTTGCTCCAAAGAAACAGGGACCCTATAAGGATACATTACTCCACATTATAAATGCCTCTATCACACCAAACAGTTTCTACGTCCCCAGTTACCACCAAATGAAATCATTAGATTCCCTCTCTTATGATTCCTAAATCCCTTTATTCAGGATGAAGCAAAAGCAGACCCTACTGTCTACATGCAAGGAGCTTCCAGCCTGATGAAAGAGATCATCCCACTTGGAGAGATCCTGATCTGATAGTGGAGTCACACATGGAAAAGAGGTGGAGAAAGAGGAGAAAAGGCCAGTTTTGGTTTGAGGCTTTCGCCCCCAGCCCCCATTCCTGAAAAATGTGGGTGGCAAGCATGGGCTAATTAACCCAATAGGTTTGCTTCTTAATTCACAAACCCTTGAAAATGATTTTTAGGGAGACTCCTGAGAATTTATAGCCTACTGCCTAACTCCTGCTACTCAAATCTAGCCCCCAAGACAGTCCACCCTAGTCCTCACCTGTGTATGTGCCTGTGTGTAGGTGGTGGGGTGCTATCCTGAAATCTGCAGAGAGGCTCCTGTCTCAGTCCTGGCCACGATATTGCCTGATCCTCTTCTTTCCAACTGAAGATTTCTCTGTTGAAGCAGCAGATGGTCTTAACGCCAAAATCTCTGATCCTTAAGCTGATTAATGAAGTAATAAGCCTATCAAGAGACCCGAGCCCCCACTGGGAACAGAAAGGAATTGACCCCTGTCCCCAAACCAGCACATTTATCATCTCAAACGAGGCACTGAGGATGCTTAGCCTATAGAAGAAAAGACTACTAACACATGATTGGTGTCTTCGAGTATTTGAAGGGGGTATCAGACTTGATCTGCTTGGCCCCAAATCGAAAAACAAGGAGCAAAGGCTGATTTGGCTCCATATAAGAAAAAAGTTCCTAATACTTAGAGACGTCCAAAAGTAGAATATGATGCCTTAGGGGTAGTAGGTTCCCCATGACCAGGGTCTTCAGGAGGAAGGTTTGATAACCACTTTAGGGGCTATTGTAAGGGGCATTCTTGATCAGTTATAGGTTGGACTTTAGTCTCTGACTTCAGGGCTGGTGCTCTATCCACTGTGCCACCTAGCTGCCCCTTCTAACGTCCCAAGTGTAAGATTCTGTGACTTGGGATATCTAAGTGACTTTAGAAACAACCTAAGTGATCTTCCTGCCTCCCTGCCCTCCCCCATCACTTTGTTGTTGTTGCTCAGTTATGTCCGACTCTTCTGACCCATTTGGGGTTTTTTTGGCAAAGATACTGGAGTGGTTTGCCATTTCCTTCTCCAGTGGATTAAGGCAAAAAAAGGTTAAGTGATTTGTCTAGGGTCACACAGCTAGTAAGTATGTGAGGCTGAATTCGAACTCAGGTGTTCTTGACTCCAGGGCAGCTAGGAGGTTGCAGTGAATAGAGAGCCTAGCCAGGAGTCAGGAAAACATGAGTTCAAATGTGGCCTCAGACGCTTACTAGCTGTGCAACCCTGGGCAAGTCACTTCACCCTGTTTGCCTCAGTTTCCTCATCTGTAAAATGAGCTGGAGAAGGAAATGGCAAACCACCTCAATATCTTTGCCAAGAAAACCCCAAATGGGGTCATGAAGAGTCAGACACCACCGAAACAAATGAAGAACAAAATTCCTGACTCCAGGCCCAATGCTCTCCCTACAGCAGCACCCAGCTGCCTCTACTACCAGGATGGATTCTTGCAGTGTTTGGGTTGTATTAATTCCTATTCCAGTCCACGTTCCCCAATTTTTCCTCTCATCTTGTTCTTTTGAACTTTTCCCTCCTCTCTTCAGCTCACCTGAATTTTCTGCCCATCCAGGCAACCTGCACTAATATCCTTCCAACACCTCGCCTTCCCAACCCTGAACCTTCAAACAAGCTTTTGCCTGAACTGAGGTCAAAAGGAAAGAAAGAGAGAGAAAGCCATTCCCCTTCCCCCCACTCCTGTCCTGCTCTTTCCAACCCTGCTTTAAATAATAACTAATAAGGGGCAGCTAGGTGACTCAGTGCATAGAGCACTGGCCCTGGAGTCAGGAGGACCTGAGTTCAAATCTGCCCTCAGACCAGATTCTTGACACGTACTAGCTGTGTGACCCTGGGCAAGTCAGTTAACCCCAATTGCCTCACCAAAAAAATAATAATAATATCAGCTAGCATTTATACAGCTATATACTCCGCATAGATTATCTCATCTGATAAGTCTCCATTTGATACATTTTCTTCCTCCTTGAAATCTTCCATGATTAATTCCACCTAACTATAAACACTCCTCTTTGGGGTCTTCTTAGCTCTTTTCTCCAGTTTGCATTTCATTTCTTTGTTTCCCTAGTCTATTTCTTTCTGCCTCTTTCTCTATTCTGGGTATATGCTCATAAATCTGGAGTCAGGGGCCATAACTTTATTTTCCTTTGGGTCTACTCCCAAGAGTTCTCAGAGATCTCTGCCTTCAGGTACACTTCATTCAGAGTTAGACTCAAAAAGTAGAGGAAGGAAACTTAGAAATGTTCAAGGGCACTTGAGGGGTCATCTTGTCCATCCCTTTGCCTTTTATCTGGGTAACAAAACCAACCTTGATTCACTTTGGAGTTATGGAGAAAGGAAGTGGTGAGGAAGTGTGCGTTCCGTCCTGCTTTTGGGAATACGTCAAATCCAAATTCAGTACTTAGCATGGTGGTGATGATAATTATATAGTTCCTGCCTTCAAGGAGCTTACATCCTATGAGGTGGAGAAGGGAGGGGGGAGCAGAGGCTCTACACGTGCAGGACTGAAACACAATGTAGGACCTTATGTGGACCAAGAAAAGATGCAGACAAAGTAATCTAGAACAATTTGAGAAAAGAAGATTTTGAGCTGGGGAGGATCTGGGGAGGATCTGAGAAGGCTTCCTGGAAAGAGGCATTGAGTTGAGTTTGAAACAAGAGAAGAATTTGGAAAGGAGGAGATAAGAAAATGCATTCATTCCAGGCATGGAGAAATGCCTGGACAAATTCATGGAGGTGGGAGATGTAATGTCAAGTTTCAGGAAACAGCTAAAGTCGTTCGTTGTTGACTGGACCATAGAGAAAATGAAAGGAGCAGTTTGAAAAGAAGACTTTAGAAAACCTTAAATGTCAGGGGGAGGAGCTTTCTTTTCATCCTAGAAGCAAGCAGGGGACTGCTCAAGTTTTGATCTGGCAACATTGCAATGTCTTTGCCTTAGGAAGATCATTTTGGCAGCCGTGTGGAACATGGCTTCCTTAGGGTTTTAGGGTCTGCTGTCCACCCACATGCATAGAACGTTAAGGTTGGAAGGGACGTTAAAGGCCTTCTAGTCTAACCTGTATATTTTACCAATGAGGAAATTAAAGCCTAGAGAGAGGAAGATTTACCCAAAGTGAGTTCACTCATTTTTTTCTCTTGTGTCTAACTCTTTGTGACCCCATTTAGGGTTTTCTTGGCAAAGATACTGGAGTGGTTTGCCATTTCCTTCTCCAGCTCAGTTTACAGAGAAGGAAACTGAGGCAAACAAGGTTAAGTGACATGCCCAGGGTCACACAGCTAGGAAGTGTCTGAGGCCAGATCTGACCTCACAAAGCTGAGTTTTCCTGACTCCAGGCCCCCAGTACCCAAGGTCACACAGCTTACTATTAGGCAGAGCCTAGAGCTCTTAACATCCAGCCCAGGGCTCCTTCCTCTTTACCACACTGCCTCCCTGAAATAAGTTTCCATTAGAATTAGAATTTGTAACCTATGTGCATTATGAGCATGTTTTCTCTTGGCATAGCAGACAGCAATGGACTCAAAGTCAGGCAGACCTGGGTTCAAATCCTACCCCAGATGCTTACTGGATGTATAAACTTGGCCATGTCACTTAAATTCTCAGTGCCTCAGTTTCTTTATCTGTAAAATGAGGGAGTTGAACCAAACCACTAAGATTTCTTCCAGCTGGAAATCTATGATCCTATCATCCTTTATTGGGCACAGAGAAGAGTGGATCTTCACCCTTCATAATAATAATGCTTGAGAGACTTCATGATAACTCTTAGAGAATTTCTGGGAAGTTATTCCTGGCCTTTAATTTTGATACCCTAGCTACAACATGAGCCCATTTCCATCTGTTTGGCCTCAGAAGAGACAAAAAACAGCATCATTAGGCTCCTAGCTCCTATCCTAGGGACAGCTAGATGATGATGTGGTGATTGGAGTGCTGGACCTGGAGCTGGGGAGATCTGAGTTCAAATCTTGCCTCAGACACTTACTAGCTGATTGACATTGGGCAAATCAGTTAAACTCTCTCAAGCAGTTTCCTCATCTACAAAATAGAGATATTAATAGCACTTAATTCACAGAGCTGTTGTGAAGATCAAATAAGATAATACATGTAAAATCCTTTGCAAATTTTAAAGTACTAAGTAAATGCCTGCTACTATTATTTATTGTTATCTCCAGGTCCTAGTCCTGCCAGCTCACCAGCCCCCAAGTGACTCATCTCTGAGCTTCCCAAGGAAGCCCCCACCCTCTGCCCTCTTCCCATCTCCCCACTCCCTTAAGTGGAAAACTCACACACACACACACACACACACACACACACACACACACCCTCCCCCAGCAGTAGGACCAGCCTCCTTCCTCCTCAGCCTCCAAGCCCTCTCCTCCCTCTCCCCTCCTCCCCCCACACACACCCTGGCTTCCTCTCTGGGGCCTGGGAGCAGATTGAGCTTTGGTTTCCTCTGAGGGGGGTAAGTTTAGGGGAGGGGGGGAGGAGTGACCCCCAATTAAGCCCCTGCTTCACCCCTCCCCTCTGGCCAAGGGCTGAGTGGAGTCAAGAGAAGGCCAGAGGAGCAAACATCGGCTTCCTCTTGTCTGGGAATGAGCCTCACTTCCCTCCCCTGCCCAGGTTTGCTTCTCTGGCCCCAGAGAAAGCCAGCAAGAGGGAGGGCAAGTAGAGCAGCCAATCAGAGCCCAGGAAAGGCACAAAACCAGTCGGTGGCTCTGGGTGGCTGCTTAGTGAGAGCAGGGTAGCCACAAACGGGGGCCATGGCTGAACTGCAACAGCTCCTGGAGTTTGAGATCCCTACAGGCCGGGAGGCCCTCCGAAGCAACCACAGCAGCCTCCTCAGAGTTGCTGACTACTGTGAAAGCAACTATGTTCAGGTAGGTAGTGCCTGACTCTCCTCCTTCCAAACTCCCTCCCTTTGATTGCACTGGCTCCCTAGTACTTGGATGCCATCCCCAGCCAAATCCCCATTCTTAACACTGATCCTCCCCATCCCTGGCTCTGAGCTCTTCCATCCTTGATACTAAGTCCCTTTCCATAATCCTGACTCCCCTCTCTAACACTGAACACCAAATCCCATCAGCCTCAGGGCCTGGGCCATTTGAACCTGCTTTCCGTGGAACCCAAGGTGGGGGAGGCTCAACCAAAATGATTACCCCCATCTAAAAAATTCTCCATTTCCTTGCAAGACCCCCTCCCCTTCCCCAATTGCTACCTGCACAGCACTTGGCCCCCATA